CGATTCCGGGAAAAGCAAGGAGAGACACCGTCTGCAATTATGCCGCCCCCCCCACCTCTTTAGCATCTGGATTCTGCTCTCAAGGGGCCGCGGACCCTCCCCGTCACAACCCTTTCACCCTCCAGCACTCCCACTGCCTCCCCCCTCTTCCTCAGCCATCTGACTCTCCTAGGGGTGTGTGTTTGGGGGTGGACGACGACGGGGGGATGTATACTTTTCCTCTCGCGGCAGCAGCCTAGTTCATATCTTATTCCTACATGTAGCGTCGCTTCGAGTCCCATGGACATTGGGATTTAGATAATCTACCCCCCCAACTAACCCCCTTCCCAAGCGATTTGATGGCTTTTAAGGAAAGCGACGAATCCCTGGATTTCCACGCCAGGGATGAGGTTTGAGGATTGGGCTTCACCCCTCAGCTCACTTCCACTACCAACCCCTCTTTCCTAGTGAGCCATTTCCACGGGGATCCGAACTTGATGGGGGGGGGGGGAAACGGGAGTATTAATGTGCTTCTCTGTCTCTACACAGGGTCGGTGTGGCCGAGGACGGCTAGTCTCAGAGGGAAAGTAGCCACCAGTCCAACCCAGGTCGCCCCCACTATTACTTCGGTGAGGGGGGCAGCGCTAAGAAGGGGATACTGGTGGGTAAGGGCCCAGTATAAGGGAGGGGGCTGGGTAGTCGCCCCCGAGGGACTCCGTTTCTTGGCAGGGAGGGAGACGACGCGAGCCCCGGCTTCAGGGGAGGGGTTCCGGGGAGGGAGATGGGGGTGGCGACGAAGGGGGGGCGGGAAGAAGGGGGGAGTCACGCCCTGCCAGCAAGGGGAGCCTCCCTCAGGCCCCTGGGAGAAGGGGACTGAATGCGTCTGCTCTGTGCTGCCAGGCAGAGGAGATCTGGGGTCTCCGGATTTGCACACTGGATCCAGCACCGGTGGCCTGAGAAAGTCAGGTCGGGGCATAAGGTGGAAAGCGTTAGAAGAAAGAGAGAAACCCCTGGCCGTGGTGCACTGATCTTTTCCCTTCCTCAACCTCTCCCTTCGTGGGGCGTACGGCGGGGGGGGGCGTGGGGCTCTTGCAACCCCTCGGATTGAGCGCCTCCGCCTCTCCTGGGAGTCTAGCTTTTTGCCCGGCTTGCTGCAGCCACCGCTGCCTCCCTCTCCGGAATCCTCTCGGTCCTCGCAGCGATCCCCTCCTCCTCCCCTCCCCTCCCAGTGTCACCGGGGCTGCTTGGCTCTGCCCCCTTCGCCGCCGCTTGCTCCCTGCTTTCGTCCCTCCCTCTCTTGCTCGCTCCCTCCCTTCGCCTCCTCCTCCCCATTCCTCCCCCCCGGTAGGCGGCATTCTGGGAGTTGTAGTCCCTCGGAACCGGGGCTGGCGCCGCCCGCGGACCCGACCGGACTCCACTTCCCGTCGAGCCGTGCGACCGGCACCCACTCCACCAGGCTTCGCTCGCACACACAGACACACACACACACCGCTCTCCCCCTCACTCTTTCGCTCGCCGCGGCTGCTGCCAGTGTGTGGCTCTGTCTCTCCTCCGCTTTGCTGAGCCCTCCCTTCTTCCTCTCAGTTCCTAGAGTCCGACCGCCGCCGCCGCGGAGAGAGAGGAGAAGGAGGTCGGTGGCAAGAAGGGGCGGAGGGGGCATCAGATCGGGGCAGTATTAGGCTCGTGGTGGCTCAGAGTGGGTAAGAGGGAGTCCGGGTGGCGGCCTGAGCCTCCCCGCGGAGCCGACTCGGGAACAGGTGCGTCTTTTTTTCCTCTCCCCCAACCCCTCCACCCCTTTTGACTCCCCGGCTTTCTCGTATCCCCCACCCGCTTCTTTCTGTCTCAAGCCTTTCCCCAACCCTGTCTCTTCTTCGCCCCGCGGCCGCTTGGCTTGCCCCCCGGGGGCGCCGTCCTCTTCGTGTCCCCGGACGTAGCGCTCCCTGGAGCTCGCTCTGTCCTCGCCCCTCCCTTCGGGACAGCTCCCCTCCACTTCCCACCTTCGTACCCCATCCCTGCCCTACCCTACCCCCTCCTCACCCCTTCTTCCTTAGCCAGGTGAGACTTGTTCGCCACCATCCGAGAGTCTTCTTCCCGGCTGGGCGGGGGTCTCCATGGAAACGGGGGTCGGGTTGATCCTGGGGGGGGAAACCATTGGAATTACCCCACTCCTCGGAAAGGGAGGTGGAGGCTGCGGTCTTGCTAACTACCTGGCCCCAACCCCCAGATCTAAGGATCCGACGATCCGAAGGGAGGCTGGCCAGCAGGGCAGGGCGAAAAAGGGCTTGTTTTTTTTGGGGGGGGGGTGCTGTCCGTGATGAAGTCTTGAAGAGACCAGGAGAAAATATCCTCCAACCTCAGAGGGGAGGTGCGACGGGTGCTCTTCAGAGCTGCTTTCTCCCTGGTGTTGGGGTGCGGGAACCGTAGGGTAAGGGGTACCCCTAGGTGGCGGCGGGGCCTGGGTTCGGGAGTGGGAGTGCTGTGATGGGGGCAGGGGCAATTATCCGAGTCCCTGGAAAAAAGGCGGGGGATGACTTCGGAGCGCCCTGGCTCCGCTGCCCTGGCTTTAGGGGCGGGGGCCGTTCGGCCAGGCGCGGCGGGGAAGGGGCTTAAATTGAAGGAGGATGAGATCGGGGGCAATTCATACTAGCCCCGGCAAGCCATGGGAGAGATCCAGCGTGCAAGCTCTCCACCCGCTTCGCGCCAGGCCTGGAGGCAAGGGGTCTGAGAGCGAAGCCGAAGGCTGCAAGGAGGGAGGCTCCGGTTACGGGGCCGGGTTTCGGGATCAGGGGCAATCCCCCCAGCCCTTGAGAAGGAAGGAGAGGGATGGCTGCGAACCCCAGGGCTCCCCCACCCCAGGTCTTAAGGGGCATGAGGAACGGACAGCAGGCCCTGCGGAGCCGGATTCGAACGGATCGCGGCTGGGGAGTGGGGGGGCCTTAGTGGTGGGCTTCGGGGGGAGCA